AACAGCCAGACTTTGTTTGAAGCACGATATTGCTTTTTCGTTCTCACCACTCGCCAACAATTGGAAACCCTCTATGGAGTGACGCGATGCCTGCTGCGTCCTCTCTACATCCTTTCCGACGCTAAAGTCAGAGAACGAAAGGTACAGCAGGGCACGGTCAAAATCGTGTCGAGCTCCATAAGACAGTCCTCTGCATTCACCAATGATTGTACCTGAGAGGATTCCTTTTCCGTCGTTAATTTCCTGCGTGACAAACAACTAAATAAGCCAGGCAGTCTATCGGTCAATGAAAAAAGAAATTTTGCAGGCACATTTATCTCAAATATTTCACCATTATACCTTGACCACATCAGTTTCAGTCTTGGCGTTGAGTTTCTGTGAATCATTATTTTTAGTTTCATCCTTAATAGACTTGCTCTTTACTTCCTGCAAAGTCTTGTTTTCCCGATCAATCTTCTCACAGTCAAGGTTAAGAAAACTTTGGTGATTACCGCTGTAGGGCTTTGGCCTCAGGCAAAAAGTCTTTTTATAAGCTAGTCTTCCCTTGATTAGATTGGACAGTTTTTGAAAATAGGTTAAAGTTTGGTATCGATATTGCCGAGGAGACAAAAAAATAGAAGTTCAAAATCAGTAAAACGTGACTTTTTTTGCAAACCAGATTTGCTATAGAAAGCTAATTCTAGCATCCTTAACTATGTTGTATTGAAGGTGAAATATACAAGAAGGTTATAAAAAATGCCTATCGTGTCTTCAATAATTTTAAAGAAGCACTCAAAATCGGAAATTGACAGAAAAATGCAATGGAAGAGAAAATTACAATGAAAGAGAATTATATCAAGGAAACTTATATTATCGGTGCATGACGTCAAAATATAGCTTCATGACACATTTTAGTATCACTTTGAAACAATTTGATCAAAATAGTGTTCATCTGTAGGTCCCTTTTCAATCATTATGCTTAAAGTATCATGGTCAGAAATCTTTTCGCGATTTACGCGAAATCAAGCACAGAATTCATTTATTTCTGTGTATTCCACTCTTAATTCGTTTACCAAGCGAAGCCTTAAAAGTCCGCTGAAACTCGAGTGTTCGCGCGGACAAAGAGCCCCCAGTGCCAGGCAAAGAATACTATATTTTGACGGAACCGTCTAAATGTAAGATAGATACTTTCACAATAATTCAGTCCGAGTTTATATGGGTGGTTTGATGATTCACTACATATCATACTGGTGATTCAAAACAAGGAATTCGAAAGGAGGCACCAAGAACAAGATATTGTTTGTAATTGCATTAGTAAAGGATACTGCCAACCCATCGCAGCACCACTTGGTTGCTTCTTCATACAATTGAAGTTCCTTACAGGCCTTTGCTCCTGTTGTTATTAGTTGACAGAAAATTGATAAAAGTAGTGACTCTTTAAAAGTCTTGAAATACAAACAAAAATTCTTAAACACGTCACGAGACTGAATATGCCCCGACTGAAACTGGAGAATATCCGAGTGATATTCCCCAATTTTCAAAACTGCACGTGTTGTAAAAAAAAAATATATTTGAAGAGCAATAAACACAATAGCCTTCATTTGGCGCGAAAATATGCTCGGATATTTGTCTTTGGACATTATCTATTCCTCAAAGCTCACAATCTCCCTCGAGCTACGCTTTCGGAAAACTGTTCGCTTCTCGGAAGAGATAATGTCCGCGGACAAATATCCGAGCATAATTTCACGCCAAATGGAGGCTTTTGTATGTGTTTTCTTTTTTTTTTAATTTAACATTCTTTAATTCCTTACATAATTTCATATTGTGATAAAAAAAAAATAGTTAAATAGATATTTACATTATTATTGTTGCTTCTTGTTCGGGGGAAATTAAGTAGAATAAACAAGATACAAATTTTTGGGTAGAACATTTTTCGTATCTACTGTAGTTATTCACACTTGTTACTATTCAAATACATAAACTACAAACAATTATAATAATTTCTTGCGTAGTTAATTAGATTATAACATATATTGTGGTGAGTAGGCTGGGATAAATATTGAGATTATTTTTTAATATTATTTGAGGATATAAAAAATGATAAAAATTTGCTGGAGAGGGCGTTTTTTCGTGTTTTCTAGAGTTTTTCTATTTTGTATTTTAATAGGAGTTTGTTTACAAAGTCTCTAAGAATAATTGGTTTGTCGTGTAATTTGCAACTGTAGATATAGTACCTCATGAATAGCATCGTGTAGTTAAATTTCTTTACTAGCTCTTTATTATGCGGACCCTTGTCTAGGCCAAAAAGTTTTTCTTCAATGGATGGGTTGAACTTTGAATTATTTCTTGCGTTGAACCATTTGATAACCTCAGTATCGAAGGAAATTACAAACCGACAATCTTTGAATGAATGGTCAACGGAATCTTTTTCTCCACAGTATAAGCAGTCGTCATCTGGTTTGATGCCAAAACAGCATAGCTCTTTTTTAGTAACTATAATGCGGTGAATCAGCTTAAACTGAAATTCTTTTAACTTGGTTTCTTTGCATAGATTTTTGATGGAGGTAAATGCTTTTTTTCCAGGAGTCTTCATTCATATGCATGGTGGATAGATTTTCGTTCCATCTTTTAGGACGTGTATGTTCAGCTGTATGGGTCTTCACATTTAATAGTTTGTAACAGTCGCAGGTTTTGGCCTTATTTGAAACAAGTTGTGTGGATTCATTTAATTGGATGGTAAAGTTTTCAGTGAAATATAATTCCTTCCTGGTTGGATCACTGAGTTTTGCTTTGTTTAGTAGATCCTTTGGAATAGCACGTATGACCTGATAGTATTGAAGAAAGTTTGATTTGCACGAGTATTTGTTGTTAAATTCCTGATACGACAATATATGGCCGGCGTCGTCAAGAAGGTCTTGGATGGATAAAATGCCCTTGTTAAACCAGTCCCTTAAAAAAAATGTTTTACCATCTACAAGTATCTCTTTATTATTAGACAGAATTAAATCCTGTGCTTGATCGAAATCATAAAGATTTTTCAATTCGTTGAAATACTTTAAAATACTTTGATAGAACGAGGGCAAAGTGTTAAGGTGTTCTGGATCGTAATTACACCTTAATAAGAAATTTAGTCCTCCTAATTTGCGTAAATAATAGTCTGGGATTGTTTTCCAATTTTGCCTTCCGGGAGACAGGAGTCTAGGAATCCATGCTAGCTTAAGAGCCTTAAACATGATCTTTATATCTATTATGCGTAATCCGCCTTTGTCCAGGTCCTGATACCGTCCGGATCTTTTAATTTTCTCTCTTTTGTTTTTCCAAAAAAATTTAAATAATTTTGTTTTCACTAAGTGTGCGAAACCTTCAGGAATGTTGAGGATCGAGGATGAGTAAATTAGTTTTGACAAACCAAGGGATTTTAGTATCATTACTCTACCAAACAATGTAAGATCTCTCGCTCTCCACATATCAAGTTTTGTTTGCAGCTTCCTTAGTTTACGATTGAAATTCCATTCGATATTTCCTTTCACCTCTTCGGAGACAAGTATTCCTAAAATTCTAACCGGGGTCCGAAGCCATTTTTTGAGTTTGTTTTTCTCCCACTTTTGTGTTTATTATTCTTTCCAACACGTACAGTTTTGAAAATTGGGGGATATTAGTCGGATATTTCCCAGTTTTAGCTGGGGCATAATCACTCACGTGAAGCGTTTAGACCAATAACGCGAGCGAAAATATTTGATGGATTATAACTACAGTTATAGCTCCGACCCTGTAGCCGCATCGCACGAGAAAAAGCCCGAATGGAGCGATCGTCCTAGGCATCAAATCCCCGCCTCTTTCCCGCATTGCCCCCCCCAACCCGGCGCGGGATTTACATTGATAGGTGCGTTACTGCATCGTGGTTTTCTTGGCTTCCTGCACTTTCTAGGCACGTAACAAGACAAAGCTGACACGGAACGTTTATTTACCTGTAACAATAGCTTGTATGGGAGATTTCTGGAATGTTCTTACACCTCGATAACAATAGTGGAATGCTCTTGCACGTTTTGCGTCCTTGACTGCGTCATGAAAATTACCTGTGGAGAGTGGCAATCTAGTGAATAACGTATTTATCGATTATTTGTAAGTACGTAAAGATTGTAAAGTGCTACTGAGCATGAACAGAATAAAAACATTTACTAGACCAAGTTTGATCGCACCGGCCAGTACAATGGACATCTTCCTTCCCCAGAATTTTGAACAGCTGTTTTTAACTAGTAAAATGGTCTAGTTCAAGAACACAACACGATGACATTGGCCGAGCTCGTATTCGAAACAGTTGATCTGAAATCAGGGGCACGTCATACACGTGATACAATAACTATCTGTCCACTGCAGTTCTCATCAAAAGCTAAAACATTATTTCATGAAATTACTATGAAACTCCTCACCAATTAAATTACCAAACGCGATAAAGACCCGATTTCTCCTAAAATATTTGATACACATTCAAGCACTGAAGAAGTAAAATAAAGGAGAATAAATATAACCGTCAAATAGCTAAAAGACAATTTCTTGATGTACCACCCAATTCTCAGAGCTAAAATTGTAAGAAATATTTGGTAATTACAAGTTAAGAGAATTGATATTTTGAATTTGGTTTAAGTCAACTAAGTTCAATCGAGTACAAATAATTGTGCGAACTCACCCATTGAAAAATGAGAGGCCGCCCTTCTGGTGTAAAAAATGGCGTTCAGTTCGTCATCTTTGCAGTTTATATCAACCTCTTCAGTGAAGAAACTTAACGGATTTCCAGATTCATTTTCCTTACACTCAGCATCTCCTTTTTCTGTTGCTATTAGACACAAAGCGTTTTCTGAGC